TATCTCTTAGTTCACAATTCAGAAAATGTCCCCACAGCCTCTGATGGAAAGAGAAAACCTTGAACAACTTTACATTTGTTTTAATTAACTTCTATTTTTCAGGAAAGCATTCCAGGCATGTAACTGAAAGATTAGTTAGCACTAAATGTATGTAATAAAGTAAACAGTGATTCCTCATCCCTCAGACTTCCACATCCAACTTTATTCTGGCTTCCTTTCATTCTTGTCATTGAGATGCACAATACCTTTTTTATTCCTACTTATCTATATGTGACCTATTCTTTCACATTTTCCCCTGTCCTTTAGAATTTTCTCTTCATCTCTGAAAGTGTTAGTTACTCAGTCATGTCTGAGTCCTTGTGACCCCATGGACAGCAGCACACCAGGCTTCCCTATCCAACACCAACTCCTGGACCTTACTCAAACTCATTTCCTTTGAGTTGGTGATGCCATCCAACCACCTCATCCTCTGTTGTTCCCTTCTCCTCATGCCTTCAATGTTTCTCAGAATCAGGGTCTTTTCAAATGAGTCGTTCTTCACATTAGGTGGCCAAAGTATTGGAGCTTCAGCCTCAGCATCAGTCCTTCCAATGAATACCCAGGGCTGATCTGCTTTAGGATGGACTGGTTTGATCTCCTTGCAGTCCAAGGGACTCTCAAGAGTCTTCTCCAACACCATAGTTCAACAGCATCAATTCTTTGATGCACAGCTTTCTTTATGGTCCAACTCTCATATCCATACATGACTACTGGAAAAACCATAGCTTTGACTACATGGGCCTTTATTGGCAAAGTAATGTCTCTGCTTTTTAATATGCTGTCTAGGTTGGTCATAGCTTTTCTTCCAAGGAGCAAGTGCCTTTAATTTCACGGCTACAGTCACCATCTGCATTGATTTTGGAGCCCAAGAAAATAAAGTCTGTCACTGTTTCCATTGTTTCCCCATCTATTTGCCATGAAGTGATGGGACCAGATGTCACAATCTTCGTATTTTGTATATTGAGTTTTAAGCCAACTTTTTCACTCTCTTGCTTCACTTTCATCAAGAGGTTCTTAAGTTCCTCTTCCTTTTGGGCTTTCTGCCATAAGGGTGGTGTCATCTGCATATCTGAGGTTATTGATATTTCTCCCAGTAATCTTGACTCCAGCTTGTGCTTCATTCAGCCTGGCATTTTGCATGATGTACTCTGCATGTCAGTTAAATAAGCAGGGTGGCAATATACAGCCTTGATGTACCCCTTTCCCAATTTGGAACCAGTCATTATTTCATGTCTAGTTCTAACTGTTGCTTCTTGAACTGCATACAGATGACTCAGGAGGCAGGTAATGTGGTCTGATATTCCCATCTCTTGAGAATTTTTCACAGTTTGTTATGACCAACACAGTCAAAGGTTTTGGCATAGTCAATAAAGCAGAAGTAGATGTTTTTCTGGAACTCTTGCTTTTTCTATGATCCAACAGATGGCAATTTGATTTGGAGAAGGGAATGGCAAACCACTTTAGTATTTTTACCTTGAGAACCCCATGAACAGTATAAAAAGAAGTTGTCAAACTGTCTTCCAAAGTAGCTGTACTGTTTTGCATTCCTACCAGCAAAGAATGAGTTGATTTTGCTTTACCACATCTTTTCCAGATTTTGGTGGTATCATGCATTGTATTTTAACCATCCTAATGGGTGTGTAGTAGTAACTCACTGTTGTCTTAATTTACATATCCAAGATGACGTACAACATGGAACACCTTTTCATTAACTTGTTTGCCATCTCTATAGGTTTTTTTTAAGGTGTCTGATAAGGTCTTTGATCTATTTTTAATAGGGTTGTTTTCTTATTCTTGACATTAAGAGTTTTTTTGTATATTTTCAATAGCAGTCCTTTATCCAGTGTGTTCCTCTCAGCCGCTGCCCCTGACCTCGGATGTGGGGTAGCTCTTCTCGGCCGCTCCTGCGCATGCTCCACGCATAAGTTCAGGGGAGGCGGATGAGAGGAGCAAGCCCGCGTCCAAGGTAAGGAGCATCGGCTGCGCTTTGCTGGAGCAGCCGTGAAGAGATACCCCACATCCAAGGTGAGAGAAACCCAAGTAAGATGGTAGATGTTGTGAGAGGGCATCAGAGGGCAGACACACTAAAACCATAACCACAGAAAACTAGTCAATCTGATCACAGGACCACAGCCTTGCCTAACTCAATGAAACTAAGCCATGCCGTGTGGGGCCACCCAAGACGGTAGGGTCATGGTGGAGAGGTCTGACAGAATCTGGTCCACTGGAGAAGGGAATGGCAAACCACTTCAGTATTCTTGCCTTGAGAACCCCATGTACAGTATGAGAAGGCAAAATGATATGATACCGAAAGAGAAACTCCCCAGGTCGGTAGGTGCCCAATATGCTACTGGAGATCAGGGGAGAAATAACTCCAGAAAGAATGAAGCAATGGAGCCAAAGCAAAAACAGCACCCAGTTGTGGATGGGACTGATGATAGAAGCAAGGTCCGATGCTGTAAAGAGCAATATTGTATAGGAACCTGGAATGTTAGGTCCATGAGTCAAGGCAAAGTGGAAGTGGTCAAACAGGAGATGGCAAGAGTGAATGTCGACATCCTAGGAATCAGTGAACTAAAATGGACAGGAATGGGTGAATTTAACTCAGATGACCATTATATCTACTACTGTGGGCAGGAATCCCTTAGGAGAAATGGAGTAGTCATCATGGTGAACAAAAGAGTCCGAAATGCAGTACTTGGATGCAATCTCAAAAA